TAAATAATTTTAAAGATTTTTATAAATTAATTATGTATAATATACAATAATTATTTTAGGCGAACGTTGTTCCATGCGCGATGAAATTACACATGAGGATCATATTCATCACTTTTTTAAGTGTCCCTGTGCTGATGGATTGGAATGTAAAGCAGAAGAGTCTCAATCGGAGGAAGTTAGTATCTTTATTTATTATTTCAAATATTATATATTTTTAATTATGTTTATAAAATTTATTTTAATCTTCATAAAATTTATTTTATTACAGTCCACAATATTTCGTAAGCCCAAATGTGCCAAAAAAAGTACCCAGTAGGAATAGGTCTTTATTTAAAATTGTAGCTTCATCGATTTTAAAATTAATTCCTCTTTCTTTATAATATAGAATAAAATGTATTCAATGCATGTATAGAATTTACTTGAATAAAAATAAATTTTGATTTTTTTTTTCTTAATCTTTTCCTAAATATTTTTAAAAATTAATTAAAGTTATTTATTTCGACTATTTAATACAAAGAAATTTTTTCGAATTTATTTATCAATTTATTATTATTATTTAAAATCACAAGATTATTTTATTTATAGTCTATTTTCTACCGTAAATCAAAATTTTGAAAATAATTTAAATTTTTCTTAAAAATGATTTTTTTCCTTTAAAAATAAAAAAAAAGTCAAGACATTTCGATTCTGTATGAAGAATGAACTTATTTTTATTATCGATATGACTCAATTATTTTAATTAAAGATTCAGCACTGGCCGAACGGATAAAATGATTAAACACTGAATGTGTCGCGAGTTTCCGCTTAACCAATGGGTTTCCTTCACGTGTCTAACAACGGAAAAATATGTCTGAACTTTGTATTCGCCTTTCTTAAAAACACTGACATTTTCTAAAAATATCAGTATTTTTTATTTCAATCAAGCAATCTATTTTTATCTTTCTTTTGGTGTGATCGAGTGAGAATTATCCATATGCTTTTAAGATATATTTCGCATATTCATAAACATTTAATAAACTTTTACAAACTTTTCTTTTATCTTTATAAAGTTAAATAAGAAGTAAATTTGTTTTCTTATAACAATACAACTTGTAGTATTAATTTATAATTGTATTTTATGTTATATTCCGTGCTCGTCGAGCAGTCCTGAATTCGTCCAGGAATAGGGTTGAAAGGTGATGTAGGGAACACGGACTGAAAAATAAAAGTTGAGTGGCTTTTCCATGGCACCCAGAGCTGTCTAGAGCTTATACGAAACCCGGGAGTAGAGCGGGTCCTCTTTTCGTCTTAGTGGGCATACATAACAAGAGAAAGTATCAAAATTGCGCTAAATTTGACCTTTCGAGTCTTTTACAAATCTCCAAGACCATAGAAATTTAGGAAAAAATCCGTAAATAGTGTGTGTGTATTGGCGTCTATTTCGTTTAATATTTCAGGATGGGATAATGATTAAGTAACGAAATTTGGCAAATTTGGTAATTTTTGTATAAGAGTCATTAATGCTATTATATTTTGGTAATTAAAGATCGAGGAGTTGAGTTGATGAAGAAGAGATATGTCATCTCTCGAGAGAAGTCGGCAAAATCTCACAACAGATTGTGTCAGACACCATTTAATTTATTATATCAATATTTATTATAATTAATAACATAAACAGTATTCATCATAATAAATAAAATAAAAGTTATAGTCTATAACAGCCGAGAAAGTTACTACATTTTTTCAATGCTACAAATTTTACAGTTCGGCCATTCTTAATTGACATTCCGACCTCGGAATCCTTTCTTCCTTCTTATTCTTATGATTGCCCTAAATGCGTCCTGTTTTTATTGGACTATCAATTAACAATCTCATTACAAATGTTTTTAAATATCGGCAGGCGTCCTTTCGGCATATCGTTACGTCTTTGTTTTATTTATTTATTTAGTTTTTGAACATCATAAAAAGTTATAGACCCTTCAATGCATGATTTGTGTAATATCCAGACTTTATGTCTTTAATTTATCATCTTTATACGTCTTTCACGTTGTATTGGTGAAAGACGTATAAAGTACATACGTTTTCTCGTCTTTAGGAGGGATTTTTTTAGATTCAATATGTATCATCTTGCACCCAGTTCTTTATGTTTTCTACTGCTGTAGTTGTCAGATTAGAATCTTCGCGAGTACCAGATTTTACGATGTAATATTGATTCCCTGGCTTTACGCATACAAATTTATACGAAACTAGACACAGCTTTAGACTTGAACCAAATTCCGTTTTTAGTACCTTTTTATACTGTTGCCAGGATTGTCATAACAAATGCAGAGCCTTGGAATTGTTTATGGAATAATTAAAACTGTCGTCGTCAATTTTACAAACTTGTGACTACGTGTGATGCGTGGAATAATAATAGTCATGTTTATATTTCGTGTATATGTTATTTTTTCTTTATATGGCGTAATTCATGTAGATTTTTTTATTCTTTCGCTTGTACCCCCGTTCTGCTTCAGAAAATTCAAATATATTTATTTCTAGAAAAATACTTAAAGCATTGACTTCTTAAATTTTTGGTGATTAGGACAGTGTTAATTTGAAACAACCATGGTTCGTTAAAATTATCAGAGAATTAACGTTTCGAAACTAAGGAAGTCAAAACGTTCATACGAATTTAAGAAGTTTTGACGATATTCGAGTAGAAATCTGAAAATATAGGCAAGTTCATACTTTGGAAAGATGTTTAAAAAAGAAAAATCGACGTCAATTTTATTTAAAATGCTTGCTTCGAACTTTGTTGGAGGAGAATTTTCATGGTGACTCAAAAATGATTGTGTGAGGCCGGGACCTCACCTTTCGACGGAAGACGGGCCGTCGAACCTACGTTAATAAACAAGTAACTTATTCTTGTAAACAGAACTGGAACAACTGAGAAACGGGGTGCGATGCGATTTAATTGACACATTGCCGATAGTAGATCGCGAGGGAGAGTAAAGGAGTGGCAGAAAGGGGAGCTTTGAGGTCAGCTAACATCGAGTTTAAAGCGAACACATCCTCGGAGGGGCGGTGGCTATGACCGTGCAGAACCAACTGCATCCTTCCGACACAGGAGAAAACACGTTGATGGTATTGAAGTTAACCCTTGAATATGGCCTTAATAATATAGTAATTCGCAATACTAATAAAACAATGGCGGGTTTAAAACCTATTACGGGCCCCGGGCAAGTGCCATGCCTGCCTTGTGCCAAATTAGGCCCTGACCCTATACCGAGATATTAAACAAAACGAACGTAACACACACATATGCACACGGATAAAAACACACACAAACACAAACGTGCATACATATCCACAGAATTTTTTCGTTTTTGATTTCATGGGGTTTAAAAACATGGAGATTTGCAAAAAGTCGGAAGGTCAAATTTGACACGATTTCAACACTTTTCTTTCTTATGTAGTCTATATGTAACAGCAGGGAAAGTAGAAGTAATAAAAATAAAATAAAATAAACTTATAACAATATACGATATTTTATTATTAGCTATGTAATATGATAAATGTGTTTATAAACGTATAGTGTATTTTCGTGGGCGAATGCAAATCATATATCATTAAATTCATTTGTAAATTTTTAACATTAATATAACTAAAGGCTTTAATTGTCAATCTTAGTGTAAATAGTTGCATGGGTTCGTAATACATGAGGTAAAGAAACAAAATAAATAAGAGTTATTTAACATATAAAAGGTTAAATAACTCTTTTGATATTTCCATGAGTAAATGTGGAATTTCTAGTGGAGTCAAACTTTAAGTGTTTGACTGTTAAGACCATTTATATTTAGTTTTATCTTGAAATTATATTAATTGAATATGCTGTTTAAAAATTGAATAAATGTTTCACTCGAGAATAAAACGAACTAAGGTACTGTACTTGAGAATAAAACTATTCTCTAGAACGCAATTTTCTTTCTTTTATAAGTAAGAATTTGCTTCATGGGCTACATTAGGAACCCGATTCTTAATCGTTACTGCAGAATGCTTCCAATAAAAAATTTATATGGACTATTTAGAGTAAAACCGACTCTGTTATTACTTAAAGGAATTTGTACAAAGATCACACATCTGATCAGACTTGCAAACTCTTGATAGTCAACCCGAAATGCGATTTACTTTTACGAAGTAAAACTATATTGTGTCATGTAAGAATGTGAAGTATAGAAAATCGAACTATCAGATCCGGTTACTAAAAGCTTTAATATAACTCTTCGTCACGTAATTGTAGAAGAAAATTCTCTGATAAGAGGACTCAATTCTCGAATAACACGGTGACAGATTTAGATTTTAAAGGAGAGATATCCACCAAATATGGTTCGAGAAAATGATCTTTGAAAAATTTTAGTTAGATGAAGAGAGGAGGAAGTCGTGTTCGAGACTCTAGACGAGAAAGAAGGCCACAATCTCACAGGAAAAAGTCCAAATAGTCCTTGTCTCTACTCTTAAAATGAGGAAATATCTTCGCTTCATATGGAGAATCGTGTTTCTATGAACTTCAAACAACTACTATTACTACTACTGCGAATTCGAGAAGAGACGTTATCCTGCTTTTGGTGAAACCGGTTTGAGATATTTATGCCGTAGACGTTCGACTTGACGTGCTCTCAAATCATTTTCCCTCTGAAAACTTATCTTACTTAATTTGATGCCAAATGGCAGAAAGGTTCTATTGACAGCTGCCACTGAGAAACCCAAGAACGATTTAGACGGGTTGAAAAACCAAATGAATTTTTCGAGGATGTTCGTATTTTCCGTTGAATAGGAAAAACAAAAACGTCCGCGACATACTTCGATTACATTTAGCCAAAATACTTTTATTTATTAAAACGGAAATAAAAACTTGGTATACTGAAATTAAGACCATTTACAAAAATATACATTTTTGAGTCTTTCCTTAATTTATTAATACAACCACAGAAGTAACAGTTACATCGGCTTGAAGAAAAACTTCATTAAAAAAGACAAACAATAGATAAAAATTTACAAAGTTAAAAATAATATCAAACGTCAGTCTTTTATTGGAGGATATGGCGTTTTCACATTAAAAACAAACGTATATTTTCTCACCATACTATCAAGATCATCTAAAGATTTAAGAATTTCGTCCGAATGTAGACCATGCTAGTTTGATCCTCCTATTGATTTTTGGAAGTAGTGAGCCAGATTTGGGTATTACTTGTCCCAGGTATACATATTCAACTACTGTTACTAGTGTGATGTCATTTATTGTTGTCTTGATTGTCTGCCAGTTCATTGTACTGTACATGACTTTCGTTTTCGCCAAGTTCATTTTAAGGCCAATTTCATTGCTAACTTTCTTTAAATCGCTGACTACTTCTTGTAGTTCTGCAGGATCTTTAGCTATTGGTATTTTATCGTCAGTGAATCTTAGATGATTGAGGTGAGAACACCTTAACCATCTATAGATATACCTTCTCCATTTATAGATATACCTTTGTTCTTTCTGTCTATTTTACGGAATACATTTTCTAGGGTTGCCGTGAAGAGCTTGGGTGATATTAAGTCTCCTTGTTGAATGCCTTCAGATGTGGGAAATTCTGGAGTGTCATCATATATTTTTACTTTAACTTTTGCTTCTCTGTATATGTTGGCTAGAGTTTCTATGTATGGTTTGTCAATGTCTTGGTTGGTTAAAGCTTCTATTAATGCTCTGGAATATACGGAATCGAAAGCCTTTTCGAAGTCAATGAAGGCCATTGTCAATGGTATTCGATATTCATTGGTACGACTTAATAATTCTCTCAGTGTTTGTATATCATCTGTTGTACTGAAACCACTTCTAAAGCCAGCCTGCTTTCGTGGTGCAGCATCTAATGTGTTTTTAAATCTGTTATTGCTAATCTTCATAAATATTTTGTATATAATGGGAGTAATAGGGAGTGAGCTATATTGGGAGTAAGCTTATAGGTCTATAATTTTTAATGTCCGTTTCGCTGCCTTTCTTATGGATGAGTATTATATTCGCACAGTTTCAATGATTTGGTATGCCTCTTGATCTTAGGCATTCTGTGTATATATTCGTCAAGACTTTCCGTGTCTTTCTGCCAGCATATTTCAACATTTCAGCTGTTATTCCGTCATTACTAGCTGCTTTACCATTTTTCATAGTTTTAAGCGTTGATTTTATTTTTTCCGTAAGAACTTCTGGGACGTTTTCTCCATTATTAAGTGCTTTTTCTCCAAACGTCTCTGGGACTTTGTATAATTCACTGTAAAACATGGTTACTTGTTGAATTATTTCGTTTCTGTTTGTGGACCTGGTGTTTTTGTTTACCAGCGCGATTATTTATTTTTTCCCCACGATTAGCGCTCTTTTTATCTTTTTATAACTTCTTCTATTTTCAATTGCATTCTCAATCAACTGATTATTGTATTTCTAATATCTTCTGTTATTTGTTTTCTTATTGTCTTACATAATTCTTTGTATNAGGCTCAATTGATCTAACTGGCTCCCGATTTTCAGAAATTTTGCCACATAAATGGCCGTTTCTTTCCATTCGTATTTGTATGCAAAGAACATTACATAACAATAAAAGGAAATTAATTATTTATTAGTTTTTTCATAAAATTATTGTTATATATTATTATTGAATTAATGTTTATTAACGTAATAGGCTGTAGCCTGTTACACGGCTTCTATTTTCAATTGCATTCTCAATCAACTGATTATTGTATTTCTAATATCTTCTGTTATTTGTTTTCTTATTGTCTTACATAATTCTTTGTATTTTATTGTCTGTGTATTAGTACTTGCTTTCATTTCCCGTCTGCGTTTTAACAGATCTCTACTTTTGTCGGTTTCTTGAGATCATTTTTTTTCTGTGGTCCTCCTACCATCTTAGCACAGTCGAGAATAATTTTCATTAGCTGAGAGCTATTGACTTGGCCATGTAGTCTTTCGTCTAGTGCCCTTTGGTACTGATCTGAGTTTTCTATTAGGTTACGGACGTTCATTCCTAATATTCTTGGTTTTCTGCCTAACTTAAGTCTTTCTAGTTTTAAATCTTAGACAATTCTCGATCTGACTAATCGATGGTCATTGCCTGTTTGGAATTTATTAAGAATACTGACATCTTTAACAGTGTGAATCTTATTGGTAAGAATGTAGTCAATTTCGTTCTTAGTTACTGCGTTTGGTGCTTCCCATGTTTACTTTCTGTTGGGGTTCTTCTTGAAGAATGCATTCGATATATACACGTTCTGGTAACTTGCAAAGTGCACCAGTATTTCTTCTCTTTCGTTCTTTTCACTAAATCCATAGATCCCACTACTTGTTCCTGGTTGTTTCTTTTTTCCACTTTGGCGTTAATGTCGCGAATTAAATATTTAAAATGGATTCTATTACTGTTTAGTGTCTCTGCTACATCGTTATAGAATTCATCTATCTTTTCTTTCGGGTGTGAAATTGTTGGAGCGTACAATCTGTATGTTGTATCTTTTTATAAGCTGTAAAGTCAAGCTGGCTATTCGATCTGAGATACTCGTTACGTCGACTATTCTGTTTTTTTCATTTCTTGTTAATTAGGAATCCTACGCCGCTTGTTCTGCCTGTCAATGATTAAATATTAAAACTTATATTAAATATGATTAATATAAGAATTTCAGTTAACAAGTACAAAAAAATGTAAATGAAATTTAATAGTACAGATTCCTTAAATGTCACACAGAAATTATAAGAAATTATATAATGTATTCAAATTTCAGTTTTTAGGCCTGATTTTTGAATAATAAATATGCTATACAATGTGAATTATCTTTCTGCTTAATATCGCTAATTAACGTTCTAATGACAAAATATTGATAAATAAATATGCATATGGAAATAATCAATTTTTCAAAACATTATCTATCATAAACTAAACTACAGTTTGAAAAATTCACAAGAATAAATTTATCTAATATATTTTTTTGCACATTCGACTAACATTCGAAATCCTGTGAAAATTCATTAAATAAATATGTTACAAAATCCTTTTTGATAAGATAAGATAAAAACAACTATATATATATATATATATTATAGAAAAGCTTATATTTGACATTTTGAACAACGTCGAAGCAATATGATAAAATATTTAATTTTATTAATCTGTCTTATAATTGCCGTACAGGTAAATTTTCTTATTTTAATTTAATTCTTCTTCATACATAAAACAGTATCATCTACACTAAAGTATTTATATATTATTGTAGGCAATTGGGGATGAAAGAAAAATTTGCAAAGATCAAAGCGATTGTAAGGATAATCAATGTTGTTTGCGAATAGGACTTGTATATAAATGCATGAAGCGACCGGAACATGGTAACAAAATTCATCCGAAGCTTAATCAATATATTTTTATCTTTTCTTTTTCAATTAAATCTATTAATAAAAACTAACGCTTATTAATTAACTTAAAGATAAGTCCTGCCATCCTTTTGCCGATTTTGATGAAAGCGTTGATGGCGAAGCTTATAAAAGAGGTTGTCCTTGTTTAGACGAGAATGATGAATGCAAAATGGGTGAGGTAAGTATCTGTTTTTCATGGATTTATTTGCGATAAGTAATACTTTTAACGAATTTTATATAATGTTGCATGTGAAAATTATAATATTTTAATCTCTTTCTAGAGCCTGCTTGACAAATTTCCTAAATGTAGAACTAAGAAATAGTAAACTTTATGACAAGAGATTACTGTATCGTGTCTTTTAAATGAAAAATAAAATGTTTTGAAACGTTTGAATACTTTATTTACAAATAGAAAATAAGAATTGATTTAATACGTAAAAACTGAAATGTAATCACTGAAATATCTTTTCAAACACGTACTTATTGAGTGGACTCTTCATAAGTTAGAAAGAGTTTTATCCGTTAGCGAAGTTTAAACCAACGCATCACTTTATTCGCAAAAATCACTGAACGTGACTTTTTACAAATAAAGTCTGTTCCGAAATGATAGAGCCATTGTGAAATAATGACATTAATAAAGGAATAAGAAGCACGTTCTAGAACTGATTCCCATCAAGCAACAGTGCTTTAATGTCGCTTCTGGATAAATATAGAGCTTTATATTAATATTCAGTCAGTCACCCTTAGGCTCAATTGATCTAACTGGCTCCCGATTTTCAGAAATTTTGCCACATAAATGGCCGTTTCTTTCCATTCGTATTTGTATGCAAAGAACATTACATAACAATAAAAGGAAATTAATTATTTATTAGTTTTTTCATAAAATTATTGTTATATATTATTATTGAATTAATGTTTATTAACGTAATAGGCTGTAGCCTGTTACACGGGGGATGTTTATACAATTTATCAACTTTACATAAATTAATTTTTTCAATGAACTTTTGCCATCCGTCTATTACAATCAGGGTGGTTGGATTTTACAATTTCTTAATTATCTACACAAATTTAGTTCTACATATATGTATACTTTAATTTATACATCACATTTAGTATGTTCCTTTTTACACCTGTTTTAAAACATTTCAACTTTATTCAATATTCCACATAATATCTCTGTTTTTGCATTACAAAGATCTTATTTACTACATTAAATTTATATTTATGATAGCTTCTTTTACTTAGTAGCTTAACTTAATCATGTTTCTTCTTTTTTTCCTTTGCTAAATACTAAAACCAAGTGATTATTAACTATTATCTTTAACTGTCACTTCGAATTATCATCCAGGTTTCAGTAAAACCAATTATAATGTTAGGATCTATGAATTCCTTTAGTAAAACTTTATAATTTTTCCACAAAGATCTTATATTCTTCAAAACCTTTAACTTCACTATCTTCCAGTTTTACAAAGCTTATATTACAATTATTTTCAATTACTGTTTTCCTATTTGAGGGATCTAAACTTAATTCGGTTTGATTCTCTTGTCAATCATGTTCTTTTTAGTTGTCTGTCTATATCTAAAAGAACCATCCATTTGAATAATCTTGTTTGTATTCATATCAATTGTATATATTATATTATCCTTAATATAGTAGTCATCTCTTATTAATATTTTATTTTTACTAGTTTTTTCTACTTTAATTTGATTCTGTAGTTTTTTTCTTCTGATTCTTGATCTAATACACAAATCCGTTGTAATTATTATTTTTTTCTCGGTCTTATTAACAATTTTTTGTTTCAAAGACCAAAATCTCTTGAGAACTAAATTTCTATCCTTAACAGATTCCAGAATTACTTTTATTATTAGGTTATTCTTACTATTTTTAAGTTGGATTAGTCCTTCAATTTCTATATTTTTTAGACCTAATTCTTCGTTAATAAACTGTTTAATTTCTTGCGCAAGGTTCCATGTTTTAACCGGAAAATTAAAAATTATTATGTTCTTATTAGTAGTTTCATTTGCCATTTTATCAAATTCGAATTCAAATATACCTTTTAACTTTTCGTTATTTTTATAATTTTCTTCTAATTTTTCTATCTTGTAACCAATTATTTTCATCTCTTCTTTATAACTATTATTTTCTTCTTTTATCTTATTAACTTCAGCTTTTATTGATTGAATTTCTAAGTTTAACTGGCAAAATTTTTCCTGAATTAATTCGTATATAGATCTTAATGTATATTGTGAATCATCAATACCTTGTTTTTCGATTTCTCTTGCCGGTCTAAAATAATCCTGAATTTTCGAATTTCTCGGGGTCTCATTATTTCTTTCGACCTTTTCTTCAATTTGGTAGTCCTCACTTAAAATTTCCAGTAACTGCGTTTCCCTTTCTTCTTCCTTGTGACTTTCTTTCCGAGGTCTACCACGCCCCCTTTTTTGCATATCCAACTGGCTTGACCGAAGTGGCAAACGGGAAAGAGGACCAGGATTTATTTCAATTCCGGCAATTATTAATAGTATTTTAATCAATCCCAAGGTTAATTTAATGTCAACAACTCTAATCTGTACATACCACATTGAGTAATTTTTTGTTATTTCCATTCCAAACTTGTTCCACCAGCCTCTTAAAAAAGTTCACTCGCACGCTTAACGGCTCTGACACACCCCCAATATATTATTATAGTAAACTAATAGTCAAATTCCTCCTATTGTTTTATATTTAAATAATAAGCATATTATTTCACAGTGGTTTTATCACAGACTGCATGCATAATTTGTAAAAGCCTATGTCGTAACCAATTCGAAATTTTGAAATTTTCTTTGGGCCGAGATTTTCGAAGTCAAATTTTACCATGTAAAGTCTATAGTCCGACTGCCGGTTATAAGGTAGTCGGGCGCTACATGTTAATGGAGTTTACGATCACCGACAATTTACATTGATCTCTACGACAAATGTTTATTTTAATCTTTATGACAGGCATTTAACATGAATGATGTCGTAACGAAATCAATTTTTCAAAACGTACGTGTTTCTCCCGCGACCGTATATTTGCGTGTTTTGAATGTCAATAAACATGACATTTGAACATGCACGTCTTTTCTCAAACACGCGAGGTTTAGACTGTTAGACTTAGAAAGTTAGAAGCGTGTCACCACATTTGTGCTTTCGTGTCAAGCCGAAAAAGTAAAACCAACGTTTTCCCATAAAATACCTACTATCATCCCCTTTCTTATGTATAAGCAAATGAAATTTCAATCGTCACGAACTTATCATTATCAATTCAGGCTATACTATAAAGATATTTTTCAATTTGCAATGAATTTTAAAACAGTAGGTCTACTAACTTCTGCCTATTTTTGTCAAAATATACAGTTTACGTACAAAAAAAATAAAAAAAAATAAGTATTTGAATGCTTTCTTTTGGTGTAATGAAAATACTTTCATATACAGTAGAACCTCGATTATCCGCCCTAATTGGGGACTGGGGTTGGTCGGATAATTGAAAAGTCGGATAACCGAAAAGTATGAAAAAATCCATTATTAGTGTAGTATATTATTATATCCCATGTAATTAGTATATTAGTATATCGCTATTAACCTATTTTGCGTTGAATTTTCATCGATGTTAAGCCTAACAAAAATTTTTTTAAATAATAATCGTCGCTATTGTATCGTTAAAAATTAGAAAATTAAGCTTCGTTTAAATACTGGCTCCCTTTCATGGTCGAATGAGTGTTGCCAGCTAAAACACGTAAAAATAATATTAAATTAGCCAAGACATAGCCAAATATTGTAGCGCCACATCACTAGCGGACATTTGAAATTTGCCGACTAGGACGGTCGGTTAACCGAGGGGTCGGTTGATCGGGGGGCGGATAATCGCGGTTCTACTGTATTTATTATAATATGCATCGAAGTTAGAGTTGCATCCTTTGCAGATTTTAAATACAGTATATAACTTATCATATCTGTAGAAAAAACACTGTATTAAAAAATAAATGTACTTTCATATTTATGTCCTTCTTCACATTTTGTGGATCCAATAACAGTCTGATGAAGACGACATTTTTAATTTGTTTTGTACATTAAGACTGACGACACCTTCAATGAAAAAGTCGAGTGTTATAGGGTCCTGAAGACGTGAAAAATAAGAAAAAGATGAGGGCCTTTGTTTATAATTTAGTGTTTTTTTTTATATGTGGTTAGTCAATGATATTCAAACATTTTAACAGTGCGACCCCAAGGTAATTTTCGGCGACCCCACAGTGGTATTCAACTGTTGTCCAGGAAATTTATTTATACTGTACAGTACGTTGGAACATTTTTTGGATTACTTCTTCTCGTGGCATTTATCGGGAAACAGAATTATAATCATGAACGTCCGCAAAGAGAGACATTGAGACATTGAGATAAAGAGGTAAGAGAGCTATCCGTTTTTTGTAGCTACGGACTTTGCTCTGTGGGAAGTAGAAGGAAGGAGAAAGCATGAGATCGAAGTGTGAAAAGAAAGGGAGAGAGAATAGTGTGAAGAGAAGGCATGGGAGGCACCATGGGTGCCTGCATTGCTTTCGTTACAATGATTTTACAGATTACATGAGAAAATACATAGCTAAGTTTGATACAAACAAGGTTACAAATGAGTATTTACAGATTCAGATAATAACAATTGGTTACATTATTAATATTTACAATACAGAAGCTGCTGTGGTATACATTGCCGAAGAATTTTACATATACAGTACTACAATTTCCATACAAACACAAGTGGTAGTAAATACAATAATCGTGCGTTACATTATTAATCCATTGGTGGCCTCGTTAGGCTGTGGGATAGTATGTTGTTGGTGGCCCTACTGCTGAAGCCGCTAGCGTTCAGGGTCTTTGTCTTGTGCACAAATTCAGTTAGACTTTTCCACAGTTTTCTGTTGTTGAAAACGTCTGGTGGATTCGGTGGCCAGTTCTGGCCTTCGGTAAGGCATTTTCCCATGAATTGGAGCTTTTTGTTGTCGTGTTTTGGGCAGTTGTAGAGGAAGTGCTCTTCAGTTGCTTCGCTGGTGTTGTCCCGCAAAGAGAGAGCAAACAAAACCCTTACTCTTCCTTTCGATCGAATAAACTTTTCCACAAATTATAATTGTAAAAGTAATTGAGATATGTAACCTTGCACCTTCGACCATGGGACGCATTGTCTGTCTTTTGTATTGATGCAATACTGTATTCTATAATTTACAGGTGAAAAATCCCAAAAAATTAAATATTTAAATAAAAATTTATTGATGCAATTACCGGTATTTGTCTTCAAGCGTTGACCACTGAAAAATTTTCTGCAGGAGCTCATGATTAAAACATGTAATATTTCCACAGACGGTTATACTTGTATAATAAATTTTTTGGTAGGCAGTCAGTATTTGGTAGTTAAAGGTGGTCAGATGTTTTTGTCTGTTAATAAAAACCGGATGTCGATATTTAAGTTTTTTGAGAACAATAAATGTCGTCAGAGAGAAAAATCGGTGCTATTAGTTTACGTAATGCATGAAAATAAGTAAGATGCAATTGTATTAATAATACTATACAAAAAATCATTGATGAAAGCCATGAGTTACAAGAACATCAAAAAATCCTTAAAACAGTTCCTGGAATAGGTAAAAAGTTATCACAAGATTTTCTGTATTCACAAGTTTCCAACATTGATTTGAAGTAAAAATACTTTCCTTTGTACGTACTGGTATATCCTCTGATACAGTACCAAGAAAAGCACAAGCACAAGCATTGTTCGTATTCAGTGTTTTAAAATATTACGTCCCATCATTTACCACACAAATTTGCCAAGCAATAAATTTGGTACAAGAGGCCAAAAACAGATGTAGAATCCTTAAACAAGCCCACTGAAGTCGTCACAAGTTTTCCACTGTCTATACTCGATCAATTACAATTCAAATACTTAACAATACTGTTGCAAACAGTAAGAATAATGCAGACAAATGGAATTATATTCGGAATTAGTTAATGCATTATGCTGTAACATTTTCAATCTATTAAAAAACAATAAGAATAATTTTTCTTAACTTTTTGTATTTACCAACGTAATATTGAACTACTTAAAATTATATTAAATATATTAATTTGGATAAAACTTTGAAAAAAAATTCGTAGTTATCTTTTTCTCTTTTTCGACTTTTCATCAGAGATAAAAATTAAAATAGCCATAAACCGGTTTTAAAAACTTTAAAACCATTATTTTATGTTATTTTCTTTATTTTTCTCATAAATGAATTTCGATCTTCCGATCCTCATCAGTTTGTTATTACACATTTTAGGACATAGTTTTGCTTATAAACAGTAAATATAGACATAAAACTAAAAATACAAAGGTGCATAATATTTTTTAAATAACCTACAACTGCCGGTTTACAAAATCTCACTAAACTTTCAAGTTCTCTTGTCTGAGACATCCAAAATCGTATTCCATTCTGGTGACACGTTTATAACCGCATTCAAATTTAAAGTGCTGTCGTTATTATCATTTACAATTATTTTATAAAACTTATTTTTACCCTCAAAATTAAGCTTTTTACCTTTTTATAAAAGCGAAAAATATAAAATATTTTATGAAATATGATAACAGAATGCGCCACCAGAATTTAAATATTGCCAAGAAAGTTGAGCAACTCGTTGCTAGTTTTTTAATATCAAAATATGGTCGCTTTATTATTATTATTATTATTATTATTAGATTATATCACATAATAATATAAAAACTCATTGACAGACAAAATAAAAAGCACATAGAACAGTGACAATATACAAAATATACATACAGTACCTAAAAAATTAGTAGTCTAAATAAAAGTGGTCAATATCGACCTCAATAGTTTCAATAAAAAATTTGGGGGTCGACGACAGCAAAAATAGACCCCCTTACTCAGAGGCGGATCTAAGTTTTTCGGAGCCTAGAGCTTATTGAAATCCAATTGGACCCCATTTTTTGTTAATACAAATAATACTCTAAATTATCATTATTATTAGGCCTATATTATTAATATTAACTATTTTTTAGTATACGATAAGTGCTCATTCTTAATGAAAAAATATTAAAAATTTATCATAATAATTCAATTTTTGTGGGCCCTTTACACTTGGGGGCCCAGGGCTTAAGCTCTATTAATCCCTGTTTAGATCCGCCCCTGTCCTTACTACTGGTATTTGTTTGTTACATTACAAGTGATTAAAATAAAAAATTTGATATCTAGTGAAGTATTTAATATCGAATACTGTACAAATTTATTAATTTGAGTAAGTAAAGTAAATTACTAGGGGATCGACGGTTTTAAAAGTTTTTGGTAAAGGGATCTGCAGTTGAAAAAAGTTTAGGAACTCTTGATCTAGAAGTTAGCATATTTAAACCGATATTTAAATAATTAAACATTTTTCTCAATTAATATCGACGAGATGGCCACACATTCAAGTAAAATGTACTTTCTAATATCTTAAAAACTCGACGAATTGCAATACGTTTAAACAGCAACCACATGAAACTCATTCTTTAAAGCACTGTAACTTATTTTTAACCGATAATAAAAGATAGATGGGTTATACTTATAAAAAATGGCGATGAAAAAATATAATTTATTCGTCTTATTTTTGATTAATTGTTGAATATACTTGAAAATCTTTCTAATAATTGACGTTGTTAAACTGTTGTTCTATTTATAAAGAGAGAAATGTGTGCATTTAATTACAGAAAATAAAACCAGTGACCTTAATTAAATACAAAACGTTATACAAAAGTGGTGGAATAACACTTGTCGCAGATGTTCTCTAAATGGGTTATAAAATATATTAAAAAAAGGGAATGCCATAAAAAGATGCCATTAAATTTTTGTAGTTAAAGGTTGACAGATGGGGAGATAAAGTGGGGGTCTTGTGTCACATCTCGAATAGAATCGAACTTAACAACGAGTAAAATCGTCATTATTATTTACAGTTTTTTAAATGAAACTCATCTCTACCCTCAAAATTAGCATTTTTGCCATTTTATAATAATTAAAAATATTAAAAGTTCTTAATAATAAAATATCATAACAGATGGCGCCACTCACGCCGTTTTAAATGTTGCTTGTAAAATTAAGCAATTCTTTTGGAATTTTTATTTTTTGGTTGTAAAATCTGGACGAAGCAATTGTTAATTTGGAATTCATATGAAAATATTTGAAAATCGTAATAACATATTCTGATGCTAATAATATTTCTCTCTCAAATTGACATAGTGTTTTGCATAGTTTAATTTGTCAATGTTAACCAAATATTCTCACCAAGGGGCAACTAAAAATTTTCATTTACCAGCGATTGCTTCTAGTAGATAAAATATCTACAGTTTTCTACAATGAATAAAGACCTGTGGCATTACAAGTTCTGGTAATGCCACAAACTTCTTTTAGCCATTTCCTACTGGAAAAAAAAATATCTGAAAAATTTTATGAAAGTTTAAACATGTCTCTGAGTTCCCACACTGATCGCATATCGCTGATACCTCTGGACAAAATTTTGTATGAATAGTATTCGCAATTTTTTTTATCGCGTTATAAGGTAGCGCGTTATACCGGAGTTCACTGTACATATTTTTACTGAAAAAATGTTATAAATATTATTACATATATTAATATGTAATAATCTTTCTAATTTTTCTACAAAATACTAATTAATAAGCATATCTTTTTTAACTTTTTAAAATCACTTTTATAAACATTTACACCGGAAAAAGAATTAACTCATTTCCTATCAACTTTAGAATATTTAATAAATTGTTTCTCAAAAAAAATTTTTTTTAATTTACAAAATATGTTTTTGTGTAGGTGTGTTTCTGAATATTCTACAACTTTCAAAGATAATCGTTAATTGAGTATTTAATTGTGTTTAAATCATTAACAAAAAATCTTTATATTTTATTTAGTACAAAGATTACATCCATTTATATTNATATATTAATAAAAATAATTTTTAATAAAAAATAATCTCAAAGTTTTTGCTCTTATAAGAATCTGATAATATAAATTATTATAATTAGAAACAATAAAATCTCAGATGGAATGAGAGATATTAGTAAATAATATGTTCATTTATTACATTTGCAGTTCATGCAATCGTTTTTTTAAAGCCATATTAATAATAAATATTATGCCTAAATATCATTCTATAACGTAATCCATTCCATTCTGCACATCATCTTCCGTCCTATACAAAGCATTACACATTCTCCGTGATTTATTTTATAAAAATTCTGATAGCTTTTGATTTTAAAATTGACAGAAATTATTTTCTGTAAATTACTTCCTGACGAGGATTTTTTCTCCATTATAAAAATAACTACAACCACTTAAATTTTATCTTCGTTGCCTTAGTTGTGAAGTACTTTCCTTTTCTTCCATAGGGATATCCCTGAAATTTAGAAGCAAATTTATTTGTTGGGTTTTAAATAAATTAAGAAAATATAGTATTTGGTAAAAATTAAACTTAGTTTAAGTGATATTCTCTAAAAAAAAAAAAAATTTAATAATAATAATATAATCATGGACATACGTTTGTGAAAAAATATCGGTGTCGGAATCGTCATCACCCGAATGACCTCTTCTTTTTTCGTAGATAAAGATAATTATAAACAGCAGAAAAATTTCACAGCATATGCCCAAAAACGGCCATAGTGCTGCTAATTTATCTAAAATGAAAATTTAATTTATTAATTAAAACAGTTAATAATTGTTAAACGAGACAAATGCTTACGCTATGTAACTGTATTATTGACAAATTCCTAACGGAAAGCATGATTAATAAATTAAGCTCGACGTGAAAATAAAGATAGCAATAAATGATTAATTAATTTCATTTTATTTCTTAAACAGTTTTGAAATATAATGAAAATATTTTCACTCATCAATGTACTTTATCCTTAGTTACACAATAGTTTTCAAAGTTTATACTGCACATAAGTGCAAAAACTATAAATTCGACAAAAGTTTTATTGAATTAATTTCTATTTCTTCTTTATGAAATATGAATCATTTATTTTGGCAACCATATATTTAAATAATTAATTTAAAAATAAAGATCGGGTAAATTCCTAACCGCAGTAGATTAATTATTTTATTTATTGTGTATTTTTAAGTATTCATTCTTTCATGTGTATTAAGTATTCACGTATTTTTATCTCTATAAAACTTAATATAATTATAATTTTTTAATAGAAAATTATAACTCGAAGTTATAAAACAAGTTTTCCTGTGATTTTAATGAATTAAAAAATATATATTAGAGAAGTAAAACTTAAACTCTTACAAACGTTTATATTTACCTTTCACTCGAACAAGTATTGTTGAATTAGAAGCTTCTCCTACTCCATTTTCTGCAAAACAAGTATACTTTGCACGATCAACATAATCTACATTTTTAATAATTAATTTCGCATTAGGTACTTGATTATCATCGAATTTGAATTCTATTCTCTCTTCTGTTTCATCAATTAGTTCCTCGTCTACAAGAGAAATTCTGTTAAGGTATTATTAACAGTTGGTATTAAAAACAATCGTTATTACCTATTAATAATAACGCTCACCTTTATACCATGTCAGAATTGGTAGAGGTGCGCCAATAGTCTGACAATGAAGAGTTAATGTATCGCCTTGCACGAGATTTATAGATCTTTCGAAAGGAACCATTTGTGTTTTGACTTTAAGTAATTATAAAATACATCTTAGCAATAATTAAAATAAGATTTATTTATGTCTGAAAGGGTAATTAGGATAATATATTTACCATAAACATCAATTGTAAAATTAGTGAAACCATCTATTGCGCAAGTATATTGTCCGGCATCTTTAATTGTTGTATTATAAATAACCAAAGAATTATTTTCCGGAATGACGATTATTCTGGAAGAAGGATTTATTAAAGCACTGTCTTTATACCTGACATCAAACAGAAGTTTTTATTACATAGCTGCATCAATTATTAAAATATATCAAAACTTCTAAAAAAGCTTACCAAATTAACTCAAACGGAACGGGACTAGAAACATTACACTGAAGAGTAATCATTTTTTCGAGTTCCATAATAACTCCTTTCCCTTGTTCGTCTTCGTTTGTTATTATTATATTTGCTAAAATAAAAATTATATTTAATAAAAATTTAATTTATAAAAAAATAGACCCTTTTTTCCTTTTGCTCTTCCTTATCAAAATAACAGCAGCATTTTTCTCAGTAATAATCAGTATAATATATTTAGCTTTAAAAAACGATATACAGTGGTGGGAAAATAGATTCTCTCTTACAAGCTGTCTAGATAGCACGTTAAATAGTATCAAAACTATTTTCCAGGAAATTATAGTGATGCTTCCTTTATTGTTTGTAATATTGTTCTCAGTAGCATTTGTAAGTATTAAATATAAAAGTTTACCGTTCAAATATTTATTATTATTACAATAACTGTAATAATCTAGGGTGAAGTTAAATTTTGCGAAAATCACGATGAATGCGATCGAGATCAATGCTGTGTGAGACCCTTTCAATTTGCTACAGCAATATGCCAACCTTTAGTAAAACAAGGTATGTTGTGTTTTTAATAATATTGTATTTTTAACGAAGTCTATATGTTATTGTTATAAAACAGGTAAATTTTGTTTGCCAAAAATACTTTCATTGCAAGAAGGTGTTAATATGATGGCGTGTCCATGTGCATCTGGTTTAGAATGTGTTGCAGAAAAGGTGACAGAAAGTGGAGACGTAAGAATATATTTAATAAATTCATTAAATCGGGTAATANGAATTTCGATCTTCCGATCCTCATCAGTTTGTTATTACACATTTTAGGACATAGTTTTGCTTATAAACAGTAAATATAGACATAAAACTAAAAATACAAAGGTGCATAATATTTTTTAAATAACCTACAACTGCCGGTTTACAAAATCTCACTAAACTTTCAAGTTCTCTTGTCTGAGACATCCAAAATCGTATTCCATTCTGGTGACACGTTTATAACCGCATTCAAATTTAAAGTGCTGTCGTTATTATCATTTACAATTATTTTATAAAACTTATTTTTACCCTCAAAATTAAGCTTTTTACCTTTTTATAAAAGCGAAAAATATAAAATATTTTATGAAATATGATAACAGAATGCGCCACCAGAATTTAAATATTGCCAAGAAAGTTGAGCAACTCGTTGCTAGTTTTTTAATATCAAAATATGGTCGCTTTATTATTATTATTATTATTACATAATATCACATAATAATATAAAAACTAGTTGACAGACAAAATCAAAAGCACATAGAACAGTGACAATATACAAAATATACATACAGTACAGTACCTAAAAAATTAGTAGTTTAAATATACAGAATTAGTTAACAGATAGCAATAGCGATTGTGACTGAAATTCTAATTTAACTAAAGTTAAACGGCAGTACCTAACACAAAACAGAAAAGTTCACTATTAAATAATTCTCCACAATTACGGAAATTGTGAAATATAAATTCAATCCCACTCACTTTCTCACTTCCCACACCAGAATTTACAAAGTAATACACAGTATTACTTTGTAAATTCTGTGTGTGGGGGACCGCCATCTGTTATGAAATTTTATTATTAAAATTTTTATATTTTTAACTATTATAAGATAGCAAAAGGCTTAATTTTGAAAGTAGGGATGGATTTATTTTTAAAAAAAAACTGTAGATGATAATAACAAGTAAAATCGTCATTAAGTCCGACCTTAACACACAACCCCCACCCCCTCGACTTTTAACCACCAAAATTTAATATCATCAATTCCCATAATAAACAAATCTCCCTGCAAAATTTCAGAAACTTTCGATAGCAGAGGAGTTATTAAGCTTCAAAGAGTGTGAACAAAAATCGTGCACCCACACACACGCGCACGGTAAACATCCGGACATATAAATACTTCCGAACTTTTTTTATATAATTCTTTTTCAATTATCAACGTTTCAATGTCCCCTGATTCTAAAAATGTAAAAATAAAAAAAATTCAACAGCAATAATTACAAATGTTTACAAATGTACTGTACCTCAACAGCGTTATAACAAAACGAACTTAAATGGAAACTTGCTCTCAAAAATAGCTAGGTTATTTTATCTGACAGAGTTAAATATAACACTACTTACTGTATACTATACACTTTTGTTTATTTATTCTTTGGCAAGAAATTTACGAGAAAATCAGATTATTACTTGCAGGCTGAATCCGATAACTGAAGATTAAAGTAATTTTTCATGTTTAATAACCGATATCAAATGTGAAATTATGTATTAAGCAACTGTATTAAATTTAGCCACATTCGAAAATTCATTAATTTCCCGCTACGTGTATTAATATATCAATATTATGTAATTTAAAAGATTAAACTATTGATAATATAACTTTCCCCTTGTGAATTTTCACAAGCGTTGAACGATAAAAAGAAAGTATAAAATCCAAGCATCTTGATGGTTCTTTACTTAATTTTAAAATGAAGCTCTATCATATTATTTTAGCACTAAGTGTTTTAGTTATAGTGCATGTAAGTGTTTAAAATAATTTAAATGTTAAGCACTTTTTTAAATAAAATTTTATCGTTTCTATTGTTATTATAAAGGCAGGTTGTGGAAAACCTAGACGTTGCGAGACACAGTCAGACTGTGGTAGAAAATAATGCTGCGTTGATGTAGAAGATTTTAAAACGTGTAAAAAGATACCGAGAACGGGTATTAATTTTCAGGAGTTTTGAAAACATTATTTTGTGTATATTATGTCATTAAAATACGACTGGATAAACTTCTTAGGTCGCTATTGTAATCCAAACACAGGAGCTTTGTTAGATGAAGAAAAGGGAATCTATAAGAATGAATGTCCATGTCCCAATGGATACAGTTGCAGAATAGGAGAAGTAAGATTTTTGTTTATTTAAATCATTAAATTATATACAGTTTATATATATCTAATATATATAAACTGTATATAATTTGGTTGTTTCAGAATCTACGGGATAAAAGTTATAGGTGCAGAAAGGTTATCGAGGTTGACAACGATACAACCGTCCAGATACCAACAACAGAAACTAAAGAAAATTAAAATGTTTATGAATTTAATATTATAATAAATAATTTCAAAACGTCTACAACTGTTTAAATTTTGAATTTTAACTAATGTATATATTAAATTAAATAAAATACAGTAATAAGCATGATTACATATAATAAAACGTTTATTTTTCTTTTATGAAATTTAAACCAGTAAAAAATTATGTCAGTCAGTAAAATGTAATATTAATAAAGTAATTGTATCTTAGTTTTCTAGTATTTTTACAATCTTGATGAAATAGTTGTATAGATTATAAAGATTTTTTTTGTTGAATTTATACAAATTATTTCTAAGTCAGAAGCTAGATTACAATGGAGTATTCGCGTGATATTATATGAGTCTCGTATATTTTTAAGTCCTGGCAATTCTGAAATAAATGGTGGATCGAGAAGTCATCGGATTTACACCATGTGCATTGGTTGTTTGAGAAATTAATATAGGTGTTATCAATAAAAGAGAATATTTGTAAGAGTAGTTGGGCTATTGGTCTTTCCACATTGAAATTTATTGATTTATTCATATACGGTTGAAAGGATGTAATTTTTAAAATTTTTAGATACCAGGGATACTATGGCTTAGGTTTGTTTGATCTTTATTTATGAAGTGGGAGATTGAAGATTCCATTAACAAAGTATAACAGTATTTCCAGTCCTGGATATTATCTTTAAATAATAAATCTGATGCTCCGAATGAATTCAATATTATTTAGTTTACTTCTCCAAAGATACTCTGTTTATGGTTTTTTACTGTATTTGATTATTTTGTGACCGCAGGGTCGGCACCACGTCAAGATGCCACGTCAGGACTGACACCACTGTGCCTTAAGGGACACAGAAATCTCAATGACCGTTAGATGTTGGTTTCACGTGCGAACGGTCGCGCCTGTAGGCAATCGGATTCGGGATAGATGGGGTCTAAGAGACAACGCGTACAAAAGAAGTGCACTCAACTACAGATTTAATGTAAACAAATACCCGCTTATTTACAAAGGATTATATATATATTTTTTTCAGCTATAGGAGGTTAATTAGGATTATTTGGACTATCGTCGATGGTCTCTAACTGCGAGAGAGAGTTTACATTCGATCACGTGCTGATAAATACCTTGAGTATAACCGAGAAAGTCAGTTTTTTATTTGTTGGAGAGGTCGACGTCGAGGATACCTAGTGAATAGGTGATTCGGAGGATATCTGGTCTGTAGAGCGTCAGATCTTGAACGCACAGAAGATAGATGGGATCGCTTGATGATAGCTTGGATGAAAGTCAGTTGAATGATTGATCCAAGGCGGTCGGTTTAGACCAGGGGTGTCCAACCCGCGGCCCGCGGGCCGCATGCGGCCCAAGGCAAGTTACAATGCGGCCCAATAAACGTGTAAACAAAACCGACAAATTTTAAATTAAATTTAATTTATTTATTTCAACGGCATAAACTCAAAAAAGAAGTTTCACAAAGCCATAAATCTTTATATGTATTTTACTTTTGAGTCGAAAGGAAATATTTTCAAATACTTGGAAATGTGTTAATGAGGAAAGAATACTAAATAAATCTAAAGTTGAGACTCGAAGAATTATAGTCCCAAATTCGAGGAAAGGAGAGAAAGGCCAAAAGATAAAACGTAGTGAGAAAGATTAAATAGACTTTCTGTTATGCAAATATGGACCCTTAATTTTCCAACTTTCCTCACTTCTTTATCTTTTGTCCTTTCTCTCCCTTCCCCGCATTTGGGTCTATAATCCTTTGAGTCCAACTCCGGCTTTATTTAGTATTTATTCCAGGTTTGCATGATTTGGCTACTTTGCGCCAAAGTTGGCTACCCGTTTTTTAGTTTGCCGTAAAAAATATCATTTGGCGCATTGGCTATTTTTTGGGCTACATCTTATTTATAAATATATTAGTCGAATAAA